TTAGTCAGGGAGGTGACCAAGAACCCGATGGTCACTCTGACAGAGCTCCAGCGTTTCTCTGTGGAGAGAGGAGAACCTTCCAGAAGAACAACCATCTCTGCAGCACTCCACCAATCAGGCCTGTATGGTAGAGTGGCCAGACGGAAGCCACTCCTCAGTAAAAGGCACATGACAGTCCGCCTGCAGGACTCTCAGACCATGAGAAACATAATTCTCTGGTCTGATGAAACAAAGATTGAACTCTTTGGCCTGAATGGCAAGCGTCATGTCTGGAGGAAACCAGACACCGCTCATCACCTGGCCTATACCATTCCTACAGTGAAGCTTGGTGGTGGCAGCATCATGCTGTGGGGATGTTTTTCAGCGGCAGGAACTGGGAGACTAGTCAGGATCGAGGGAAAGATGAATGCAGCAATGTACAGAGACATCCTTGATGAAAACCTGCTCTAGAGCGCTCCGGACCTCAGACTGGGGCGAAGGTTCATCTTCCAACAGGACAACGACCCCAAGCACACAGCCAAGATAACAAAGGAGTGGCTACGGGACAACTCTGTAAATGTACTTGAGTGGCCCAGCCAGAGCCCAGAATTGAACCAGATTGAGCATCTCTGGAGAGATCTGAAAATGGCTGTGCACCGACGCTCCCCATCCAACCTGACGGAGTTTGAGAGGTCCTGCAAAGAAGAATGGGAGAAACTGCCCAAAAATAGGTGTGCCAAGCTTGTAGCATCATATTTAAAAAGACTTGAGGCTGTAATTGGTGCCAAAGGTGCTTCAATAAAGTATAGAGCAAAGGCTGTGAATACTTATGTACATGTGAGGTGTTTTTTTATAAATTTGTAAAGATTTGAAAAGCTTCTTTCACATTGTCATTATGTGGTATTGTTGTGGAATTTTGAGGAAAAAAATGAATTTAATCCATTTTGGATTAATAAGGCTGTAACATAACAAAATGTGGAAAAAGTGAATCACTGTATATATTTAAAATAAACGCTACTGTTTTGAACTTTCTTTTTGTCTAAAAAAAAATATATATATATATATATTGTTTCCACAAAACGTTAAGTAGCACAACACTTCTCAACACTAATAAGAAGAAATGATTTTTCAGCATGTTAAAATGAACCAGTGGTTTACTTTGTTCCCTCTAGTATTTCCTATAAGTACCCCAGAACCACTGGTGCTGCTTACCCCACCACGGTGCCTCACAGCCAACCGGACACAGCAGGGAGTCCTACTCACATGGATCCCTCCAGCCAATCACACGTCACCAATTGATCACTACATCATGGAGTTCCGCCTCGGGGAGAGGTGGGATGTTCTTGATGATGCAATCCCTGCTGCAGAGACCGAGCTATTAGCTAGAGACCTGGTTCAGGTATGTCTGTGATGACTATTTCAAAAGACTGACGTAAGACTTGTATTGGCATTCCTGCCGGTGAAAAAAGTGTTTGAGCGTAAACTATAAATTATTTATATTGCTGTTTCGCTAAAAGAATAATTCACCCAACAATAAAGGTTTAGGCATCACTTAGTCACAGTCGTGTTTATAAAGTGTACATTATTTTGGTCAAAAAAAGCAAAAAGGTGGGAAAATCTCCCTCAAGGTTTTTCACTGTAATGAAAGGTTAAGAAGATATCTCTTTGTTTCTAATGTTTGTTTGTTTGTTTTTGCTTTTTAGTTTTAATTTGTTTTTAAATGTATTTTTCACATCTTGTCACATTTAGATGCAAATTTATTTGAATTATTTCACACTCATTACAGCTTTCTAATCTATTGCACCTAAACTTTCAGTGGATTGAGTTTTCTAGTCATCTATTTAAAGGAAACATGCTGTACATGTCTCTGCATTGTTTTGCAGGAGGCCTGGTATGAGTTCAGAGTGATGGCGGTTATGGAGGACGTAGTCAGTGAGCCCAGTAATGTAGTGGGAGTCTCTAGCACAGGTCAGTGCTCTGAGGATTTTTATAGTCCATATGGGTTTTGAAAATGTACTGTGAAATTTACTCCACATAATATCATGTTATACTGTGTGACATTTTTGTCTAGGCCCACACAAACATTAACGGAAGGAGTTGATTCTGAAATAGTGATGGTCTGATGAGACTCTGCTGCTATCTGCTGGATTTAATATGAATTACACACAGTTTGTTTGAATTGATCTTTTTTGGTAATTAAAACAAGTTCATATTTATAAATATTGGATGTATTGTGCTCTTTATTTTATTTTATTTTTTAATTTTTTTTACTTCAGTAACTGTAATGTTTCTGTAAAAATGTTTTAATCTCTCAAACCACAGTTTGCTGAAAATCCAAATCTACGAATAAATATTATCCAAAGAAAGCAAACGGGGCTTAGCTTTCTAAAGTCTTTTTTTAGAAGTCACTTACGCTCACCAAGACTGCATTTATTTGATCACCAATTCAGTAAAACAGCAATATTATGAATTATTATTACAATTTAAAATAACTTATATTTTAAAGTGTATTTTGTTCTGTGATGATAAAGCTGAATTTTTAGCAGTCATTACTCCAGTTTTCAGCATCACACGATCCTTCAGAAATCGTTCTAATATGCTGATTTGCTGCTCAAGAAACATTTCTTATTATTATCAATGCTGAAAACATTGATGTTGTGCCTAATAATTTTGTGGAAACTGTGATACTTTTTTCAGGATTCTCAAATGAATAGAAAGTTCTAAAGAACAACACTTATTTGAAATAACAGTAGTTTTAGTTTTTTTATTTTATTGTGATTAAGATTTATATTATAATCGTTTCTGTTTTATTGACAGTCCTTGTTCTGTTACCACTTTCCAGTTATTGAATTTACTAAATAGTAGATAGTGCACTGCAGTCAGAATTCAGTCACTACTTGAAGTCAAAATAAACACGAGGCTGCCATTCAGTCTTTGTTTTCATTTCTCAAAGCTTCGCACAGTGATTTTGAATGTTTTTATGAATCGAGATAGGCGACTATTTCATTCTGTTTCAGTCTTTCAAATCTTTGCTCCTATAAACGAAATCATTTGGAATGAGCTGTATGGTTTATTGTTGAAACAGCCCACACTAACAATGAAAGAGCTGGTGTGTGTGTGTGCTGAAGGCGAGCTTGTTTGTATCTTTCAGACTACTTTCCGCTGCCTGAGGTGCCAGACGAGGGGCTGGCGCGGCCGGTGGTGGCAGGCATTGTGGCCACCATCTGTTTCCTGGCAGCAGCCATCCTCTTCAGCACGCTAGCAGCCTGCTTCGTCAACAAACAGAGACGGCGTAAGCTCAAGCAGAGACGAGGTCAGTGGTGCCCTCGCGGCCAGAATGTCCTCTTTCTTATCCAACTCCTTGCCCTTCACATCTTACCCTACTGATGGACTTGCAATTCAAACAGACTGGTAGTTTTTTTTAATTTTTATTTATCCAAGTAGTTCTGGAAAACACTGAGAAACTTTCCATTGTTTAACTTTCAAGACATTCCCATAATCGAGGTTTAAATAACAGGCAGTTGCCACAATCACAAAACTGACGATGCAGCGGAAATTCTGTCAATCTTTCAGCATGCTTTTCATCAGGAAATTAGTCTTTTTATGCGTGTCTGAAATCTCTAATCTGGTGTTCTCTTCAACAGATCCCCCTCTGTCTATAACACACTGCAGAAAGAGCATGGAGACTCCGTAAGTAATGTCTTTTAAGAACTTTCTCCCTTCTCCCCTTGTACCTCGGTTTATTCAGACAGAGAGTGGAGTGTGCTTCATAAATCAAGGCATCCGACAAGCACGCCCTCTCGTTTAAAGATCCTATTAGAAGACCCATTAATTACTCCTCAGTGATAGGCCGGTGATTCATGGATGTAGTGTGTTCATGGACTGGACGGTCTAGGTTATTTTAATCAAAGAGGAGTTTCTTAATTTTTCCATTAGTATGGCATTCTAAATAGTTCTCTCTTGTTTGCTTTAATTTGCACAGATCAATGGTTCTCAACCTTTTAGACTCCAAGGTCCCCTATTGCCCACAGCAATATTTAAAGCCCCCCCTAGTCCTAGTTTTATTTTCAAAGTTTCAATTTCTGTAACTCAAATAATTATAATGAAAATAATCACATTTCAGGATTTCGGTTTTAGGGCCTGAATGTTCCTCAGGGTAAATAACGAATTTACCCAGTCAAATATTTTAGAGCTTGGCATAACTTGTCAAATGTATATTCAATACACAAAATGCCCATGGTGTTTTAAAATCTTATTAATTTACATGACTTTTCCAGGTCTGGAAATCACACCTTTAAAATTAGGCTTTCTCATATATCCAGGTTTTCCAAGATTGTGTGAATCATGGTTCTTCAAAGGAAACAAACATTGAGGGGGTAAATTAAATTATTATAGTGCTTCATATAATGCTTTTTTAAACCATTGTAAGTCATCTTGAGTCACCTGTGGACGTTTGCTGAGGCCTCCTGGTTGGCCCCAGCCACCTGGTTGAGAATCACTGCTTTACAGCAGATTTATTACTGTATTGGCTTATTCAAATCTTATTCACTAATAATCTCAATCACTAATTTTGGGTCTCGTGATATTTAAAGAGGTATATTTTTTTAATTAACCAACTAAATCTAATAATATAAGCTTCACCTTTGGCAGTTTAAAGACTTCAAATGCTCAATTTAAAGACATTTTCTGTTTGCAGAACAGTCAGAAAAAAAAAGTAGTATGCAATAGCATATTAGTAACGTAAGATAGGTCTAAATAAGGTGCAAACGTGTACCTTTGCGGGCATATCCCCAAGCAGAATTTTTGCACAAACTATCTTATACTGTATGTTTACCCAGTGGTCTAATTGTAAAAAAAAAAATTCAAGGGGGATGTATGGTCAAGTATTTCTTTGGTGGGGCAGGGGTCCTGTAGCTAACTTTACATAATGATTACCAAATTAGTCTAATTTTTAAATACATTTTTTATTTACTGCTAAAGCTTCACTGCATTTTCAGTGGTGCCTTACAGCATTCATTAATAGCATTTGAAGTTTATTTCTATTTTTCTGTAACTGATTTTGTGTTTTATGGCTGTTAATGAGCAATTTGAGATATGAGTGTTTTGCAGTGAGCTTTATATAATACTCTGTTATTATAGGAAAAAACGCTGTTCATGTATTCCTGCTTGATAAATTGACTGTGGTATTGACCTCCTGTCTATGAATGTTCATGGTTTTGATGACACTTACTACCCTGGTAAAGAAAGTACTGTAGGTTTGGGTTCAGGTTCATCCTCATAGTGATTGGTTTCTGCACACAGACACCGATTCAGAGTGACCCTGCTGCTTTTGAGTTCACATGGGAACAATCAGACACTAAAAAAAGAGTGTGTAAAACAGGCTCGTACAGTACAAGCATTGTAAATGATATGCAACATCTGTGCAACATGTGATTTGAAGTGTATAGTTGTGTTAAAAGTGTGTGTATATATATATATATATATATATATATATATATATTTATTTATTTTATTTTTTTTTTTTGCTATAATCCAAACACACAGACTATCAATTTATTGTGTGAAGATGAATTGTAATCACGGATTGTGCAATAAGTGGAGTCCTCTCTGACCAAAAAGACTTCAAGGGATAGTGTAGTTCACCCAAAATTGTTTCTTGTGTGTCTCAAAACAGATAGATACTGTATGTGCATATTTAAATGGTGGGGGAGGAATTTTTCACTGCTTATGAACCCCCCATTAAAAGCAGTGCTAAACGCCTTTCAAAATTACTAATACAACATGTAGCTTAACCCAGTGTCAAAACTGTGTTTTAAAAAGATGATAATCCAGAGTTAATGTAGTATGAAACCCAGATGAGACCACTTTTTTGGGTGAACTCTAATAACATTGGGTGATAACAACAATATCTGTGGATTCTCTACCATGGTAAATGTGCATGCTGTGTTGTCTCTGCTTCCAAGAATGCCGGTTACAATGCTTTCATATTTTTAGTTTGCATTTACCATGGTATACTAACACACATCTGAAGAACAGGAAGTTTCTTCTCTCCGGTATTTTACTCCGGTATTTCTCCGGGATACCGCTGCAACAAACTTGTCTTATCTTAACTTACATTTTACACTAACTCTGTTGTTTGTCTTTCTTCCCAGTGCTAATAACAGTGGACATCGGTGATTAGGATTTTCTTATTTATACATTCAGTAGTATTTATTCATATTATTTCTTCATAATCTAATATTTAAAGTATTATCCTATCACAGTATTGAATACTGCTTTAATCAAGCAAGAAGCTGTTTTACTTGATACATCGTCTGATGCACTCTAATGCTTCAGAAAACCAAACGATGAGATTTAACTGACTAGAGAGCATTTAACAGTGCTCCTCCTTAATAATACATTTAGACTAGTGATGTCTCATATATTGCATTTATAGTACTTGACCCTCCTATGTGCATCTTTCAGTAATCTAAAGCTAAGTCGGCTAAATCTGGTAGGATGCCAGTCATACCCTGCATAGTCGTGACATTCAAAAACATGCAGCTATTGTAGTTCACTTTATTTCATGATATGCTGGGGTATGGTATCTCTTTGTGGCAGTGCTTTAGTATTGAATTTATTCTTAAATAGTGTTTTAGCTAGTTACGTAACTGCTTTTATCTGCAGTATTGTCATGGCATCAAGTATTCATTTTTCACAAAATATACTTTGAGTTATTGTACTTCTTTTTACATAGGCTTGTGCTTTGCAAAATCATACAGTGGAGGCAAAAGTTTGATGTCACATTGAAAATCTGGTATTCAGTGTCAAGAAAGAAAGAGTCATTTTAAAAAGAATTGTACAATTTTGGGGGATTTTGAAAATATAAAATTAAGAAATGTTAAAGGGTTAGTTCACCCAAAAATGAAAATTAGCCCACAAATTACTCACCCTCAAGTCATCCTAGGTGTATATGACTTTCTTCTTTCAGACGAATCCAGTCGGAGTTATATAAAAAATTGTCTTTGATCTTTCAAGCTGTTTAATGCCACTCAGCGCGTGTTGCATGCATCAGTCCAAAAGAAGTAAATAAAAAGCACCCATCCATTAAAAAAAAAGTGTCTCACACGGCTCCGGGGGGTGAACAAAGGCCTCCTGTAGCGAATCGATGTGTTTTTGTAAGAAAAATATCCATATTCAAAACGTAATAATCACTTTAATGTAGCTTGCGCCAACAGTCCTACACGGAAGCAGCTCCGGGCGGATGACGTATGAGTTCAGCGCTGCGCATGCGCCGCTCAGAAGTGACGAACGCGGAAGCGCAGGGGAGAGATCAAAACAAAACACCGGTCACTTATTAGAAGTACAAAATGAGGATTTGTAAAGAAGAATGTCGGAGGATTTCGATATAAGCCAAGAGGAGACTGGTTTTCCTTTGCTAAAGTAAGGAAACTTTGCTTCCTTCGCTCCTGTTAACGAACGTTGGTTTTAACGAGACTCACCGGCGCATGCGCAGTGCTGACCTCATACCTCATCAGCCCGGAACTGCTTCTGTGTAGGACTGTTGGTGCAAGTTTTGGACTGATGCATGCAACACCAGCTGAGTAGCATTAAACAGCTTGAAAGATCAAAAACAATTTTTAATATAACTCCGACTGGATTCGTCTGAAAGAAGAAAGTCATATACACCTAGGATGACTTGAGGGTGAGTAATTTGTGGGCTAATTTTCATTTTTGGGTGAACTAACCCTTTAATGTCAAATGAGTGAGAAATGCTTGACATTCTGTACTATTTCAATGTCACTGTTTAAAAATAAGCAAATTTCAGCCAGTAGTGCTTCCACTGAAGCACAAGATGGTCTTTGGAGCATTATCATGCTGGAAAACAAACTCTACAAGTTTGTGTAAAACTTGTTCATGCAGCTCAAGTGCTGTTGTCATTAAACCTAAAGAGGGCTTTTTTATTTTAAACTTTTAACACAAAACCTTGTGCAGATAATAATTTGTACTAAAAACATTAAACGTGTGTATATATATATATATATA